ATGGTGTGTTAGCTGTGACAGTGGCACTGATTGTGCCAAGGCTTCCTGCTGCTGCTGTTCTGTGTCTTTCTGCCTTCAGTCAGCTACAGTGAACTCTCTTACTCTATTGTCCGTATACTGATCTGTGACATGCAGCTTGAGGGCAAAACTGAATTTGCCAGTGAGTGCAGCTTAAGGTCAGCAAAGAGTAGGCTATTTATATATAGACAGATAAACTATCTGGTATCCTTAACTGAGATTGGGTGATTTTTGCCCATGCAGAGGAGGTAGTGATGCCAAAGTTGGCAGCAGAGTTGTGCTGCACTTGGTGTCAATTCTAGCCATAAGGAAATAAAAACTTTATGGTACTTGTTCCTGTTATTACTGGCTGAATGTGCTGATATGTTTTGTTCTTATCCCTTTTTGGGGGAGAGAGAGGAGGAGGTAAGAAATCTAGCTTCACCCCATCGCTGGGCAAGTGATAACATTCTAATAACTTTTCCATGTTACAGCAATGTTGAACACTAATAAATAACAGCGTATTGTGTTACTTAAGTTCTTGTTCTTTGGTTTTAATAAAGAATTCTAGAAGTATACTAAAAATCAAGTAGTAAAAGCTGATGACTTTGCAGTTTTTCCTCACATTAATTCATTAGATATCAGGTCTTAGCGGAGCACATGAACTAACGTGATGTTGGCTACTGGAAGCTAATGTTATTTAAGATGCTACCTTTTTTTTTAATCTGTGTGTGTGAAGGTTTAAGGAAAAAAAAAAAAGCCACTTTCCAAACAGAGCTTTTCAATTTGAGGTTTTCATCATGACACCTGTAATAGTCTCAGGCATGAACAAGTCATTTATGCATGGAGTAGGAAGTAACTGGGATTTTTCGAACTCTTGATTTGACCAATATTGAATAATGTTTTTCTCCAACTAGCAAATCCTTTCTACCAACTTAATTTATGATGTTTTCTTGTGCTAGTGCTCTCTTAACTTGTGAGGACTTCTTTAGTTTAGCTTAAAGATCCTCTTACTGTTACTGTAATAAGCTTCCTGCTTGAAGATTAGTTATTTCAGAAGTAGTGTTCTCAAGATAATTCCATGCTGTTCCAATTCTTGTTTCTTCCAGATCTTAGCGAATGTCACATTTGGGGCATAAGTGATGTTTAAAGTCAAAAACCTAACTCTTTTATTAAAGCAATATTACTCAAGGATAATGTGAATGGAAAAGTATAGACCAGAAAAAGAAAATCTGTTAAATTAAAAAAAAAAAAAATTGAAACTGCTTCTATTTCATATGCCTCATAGGAAAAAGACTTATGTATGCAGTCAGCTACTAGCTATATGAATAATGTCAGACTATCTCTGAGAATTTGGGTGGGGTGCATACTTGGCCAGTAACTTTTGGCATATAGTTACACAGCCTTCTGACTTAATAATGGTTATGATATTCAGGAACCTCTTTTGTGTCTTTTCTCTGTTCAAAGAAATTTCACCATCAAAGTCTGTGTTACGTTATTAGGATTAATGAGGCTTTCCTTATCTCTAATATTTCATGGTTGTAATTTCAGCCAGAAGAACAAGGAAAGGTGAAAGCCATTAAAGCTGGGTTACTGAACAGGATATTCCACAGGGACAAAGAAGAGAGGAAGAGCTCTTGTCTACAGAATTTCATCCAAATTATGGGTGTTTGATCTAGTTTTCCTTCAGTTTCCAGATGCTGTGTTATTTGGGAGTAGTGAAGTCTTTAATATGCATTGTCAGGATTGTGTTCTAGTTGGGCAGAATAAAACCATTCAGGGTTTTTAAATGGTGCTTCCCTTGGCTTTAGGATGAAAGGTCTCTGGATTGTAATAAATTGTTGTGTTTGGATAGGCCTCTGCAGATTACTACACTGAATTGGAATTCAAATAGGCATGGCTTTTTCAAGAGGTGTTTCAACATGTGAAACTTGTAGGTAAACTATGCTGCAGTGAAGTGGCAGCTTATCCTAGACTTATTTAAGTGCTTGAGGAACCATCTCCTTTTAACTCAGTTTAGCATTGACTGTGAAATTCTGAACATGCATTTCCAGATTATAAACCCATACCATTAATTCATGCCTTAATTGTTTATGTGTATCATGCTCCTGAACAAAACTGCCACTATGCCATGTCAGTTATGTTCTTCTATATGCATTGTTGTAAGAGTTGTGCAGTACACTAACCCTTCCCGTCTGGATGTGATCCTGGGCACTATGCTCTGGAGGACCCTGCTTGAGCAGAGGGGGTTGGACTAGATGATCTCCAGAGGTCCCTTCCAACCTAAACGATTCTGTGATTCTGTGTGATTCCCACTACAGAGGAATCCTATCACATGAATGCTTTCAAGTGCTTTTCAGCTCCTTTGCTGCTGTCAAGACTTTAATGGTTTTTTTTTTTTTTTTTTTTGTATGAGGACAGGCCCAAAGTAGGAACAGGTTGTACCCCAGAAGCTTTGTTCAGGTCTAGTCTTGTTTTCAAAACTATTGTATTCTGGAACAGGGCTATACGTGATTAACTAGCTTTTAATCTTACTTATAATCAGGTAGTAGTTCTTTTTTTAAATTGAATTTGGGACACTGGAAAAACAGTTGTGTTTTTTTAAACACTACTTTGTTGTTGAAAGATAAGAAAATACAAGCTCTGCTCTTTGAGAATAGTTTCGAGTTCTATAATTTTTATACTAAGTGATGAGGAAAATATGTATTTCCTTGGAATAACTGATAATTCAGGAGGGGATAGAAGCTAGATGTAGGATTTAAACATGGGACTGCGTCTAATTTTGGACTTCTCAGTGCAAGAAAGATGTTAGTTAACTTGAAAAAGTTTAGTAGAGGCCACCAAGGCGGTCACAGGGCTGGAGCGCATGACTTTTATGAACAGTGTCTGGATTAACAAGGCTCGTTCAGCCTGGAGAAAAGGCTTTGGGGGACCTAATAAATAGCCTCCTTCCCATACCTGCAAGGAGGTAGGTTACTGGAAAGACTGAACAAGGCTTTTTCTCTTGCTGTGCAACTTGGTCAAGAGACACAATGGTCATAAACTTGAGTTGGAGGTTCTGACTGGGTACAAGGAAAAAGTTTGCACTATGAGGTCGCCCAGAGAGGTTGTGAAGTTTCCAAGACCTGATTGGACAAAGCTCTAGGTAGCATGGTCCAAATCTGATATCAGCCTTGCTTTGAGCAGGAGATTGGACTAGATGAGTTCACAAGGCCCTTCCAAGCCTGAATGATTCAGTGGGTGTCTCGCCATAATCTCTCCTTCCCCCTGTCACTTTTTGCATTTATAGCTTAACATTAGTACTTCCATCTTTTTAAAGCGATGGAAACCCCCCACCCCAACAGCTTTCCTTCTCTGAGCCCTCAGGCATCCATTTCTTACATGGAAGATGGAGAAACATTCCCCATGGTATCAGTGATGTTGGAAAGTCTCACCATTGCTGTTAACGATTTTCATACTTTATTTTCATGTATGTACTATATGTTTACTGTTGGAGGAGATTGATAGTATTCAAAACAGACTTCCTGACAAGCAGAGGTCTGTTGCCTACACTGCAGAGAGGTGTTTGGAAGACAGGATATATCAAATTGGTTGAACCTTCAAACTTCATTACATGCCTTGTATATTAGGAAAGCTCTTTAGTAGTCTTTGCAAATGATATCCTGTAGAAGATGAAGGCTCTTGGAGTAGTGTGAGTGAAAAAAATAGGCTACAGCTTCTTGGAATTCTTTACTGGGCCTAACGACAAAATAAAATTGGGTGGCATCATACAGTGTTCTGTAGGTGAGACAGGTAGAACGACATATTTAAAGCCACCTGACACAACTATAAAACCTTAATTTTTAGTTAGTTACTAACCATGGGGAACTCTAGCCATTTGGGTTGAAATTTTACATTCCAGATCTGCCCCAGCTGGACTCTTCTCGAAAACATGATGTAATGCATTTTCCTTAGCGTAACATGAGAAAACAAATTACTTCGAGTTATGAATTCTCTTAGAAGATATCTGGAGATCCCTAGATGTATGAACTACTCCCACATAACCATCCTGAGCATGTTGGAAGTGATGCTATAGGGGACATAGCCAGACCTCTCTAACTGCTGCTTTGGGCCAGTTAGGGCTAAGGGCAGGTAACTGCCTGACTTCTACAAAGTTTAACTACCTAGTGAAAGGAGATGGCAACTATTGCTGTTCACTTTATCATAAAGAACTGTTCCACTGCTCTGTGGCCAAGATTTTTAGTTGAAAATACTGTGGAGTAACAAACTCATTAGAGCAGATCTGTCTGGTCCTGTTCTCAGTGTGGATTGCTTGGCATCCTCTCACCCTGCTCTGCACCATATGTTTGATGAATTTTAAGCAGAAATTGTCTGTCTGAGCAAAACTGGTTTAGTTCCCTCTTGCCTTCATTTTCATGTGCTGCTGTTAGAGTTCTAGCAAAAGGAACTGATATCTCATAACACTCATGCTGTTTTTGTGTTTTTTAATCTCACTTAAATCTTCTTGAAGGGGATTTGAAAGAGATATGCTAGATGACAGTATAGTGATAGTTGTTAGAGGGCTCTCTAAGGGCAATAGTACTACTTTTTGTGGAAGCAGTCTTTTGATATGGACAAGCTGCAGGGCTGGCTTTGCATGTAGCTGAACCAGAAGGGCTACTGGTTTTACACTACTTCATCTGTCAGAGGCAGACTTAGGTAACTGTGCATGGTCTGTAGGGATATATAGCCTTGTCTGCTGGTTATGCTTTATTTTTGTGTATTGCCAAATTTACTCAAAGCAGCCTATAATGTTGTAAATTTCTTCAAGCCATGGAACAGATATATAGCGCGCGCGCGCTCTCTCTCTCTCTCTCTCTCTCCTCTCTCTCTCTCTCTCTCTCTCTCTATATATATATATATATTTTCAAATTGAGTTGGTTGGGTCTATGTAATGATGTGTTGCCACTACTTTGTCATGTACAACATAACAGATTGTAAAAGCTCTCTTTATTTTACAATAGGCTGGTGTTTGGGATGCTGTATCCTGCGTATTACTCATACAAAGCTGTGAAGACAAAAAATGTGAAGGAATATGTAAGTTGTATTCTTCTTAATTGCTTAATTAAAATGCTTCTGCTGAGATGCAACTGTGAAATTTTCATTATGCAGTGCAATGAATCATATGAAAGCTTGATATGACTTTCTCAGTATTAGATACAAAAACTGTGCAAGTGCAGTGGCAATCCTAAGCTTTGTGTTTGAAATGCTACAGTTAAGGTTTCTCAGACTTGTTATATACTTTATTGAAATGTGTCCAATATGTTATGCCTCGTTAAATACTACAGTTAAGATTTTTAGTTTTTTTCCAACATATATACCTTAAATAGTGTTGTTTGCATTTCACAGCACACAAAGTAATGCCCTATTGGGGAACAAGAGGGTCCCCAGTTCTATCAATGCCTGTCATGTAAACAATGAGAAATTGGTTCTCAGTGAACACTTGAGCAGGAGCAGCAGTTTAGCTATCATTATAAAGAGGGGATACAAAAAATACCTGAGAAAAGGATAACTCTGCTTAATCTATCCTTCTTTGAAGAGGAGGAAAAATCTGACCTGAGAAGGGAAAGATTTGTGTATGAAGATGTGGAAGAAAGAAGCAGAAAAAACAGAAGAGTAAGATGGAAAAAAAAGAACTACAGCAGTTCAAAATTAATGTGTTAATTTGCTTACTTTTCAATGTGAGCAATGATTATTGCCCCAAGAACAATATGCAGTGGCAGTCGCAAGGAGCTTTGGTCACTGAATTGCTTCTTTGTCTTAAGAGGTAGCCTGACTTGATTTTTTTGGCAACTAACCTATGCTTCTTCCTGAATCTCATTCTGAATTTGGCTATCTGACTCAGGACAGAGATTCAATACCATCAGTTATGTTAACTAAGCAGCTGTAGCTGTTGCCTAATGTTGCTGCCCTGATGTGTAATGGCTTTGCTCTGTACTTGCTTGTAGTAATAGAATGCAGGAGCTGTTGTTGCTCTGTGTATACCTTGCACTTAGTCTGGTTGCTCGATATAGGCTCCAGAGTGGGCATCCTGTTTTTTTCTGCTTTTGGTTTCTGTACTTGGTTGATGAGAGCTTATTTATGTGCATACAGTTAGTGCCTGCCAGAGTGAAGCTTCTGGGGGAAAAATTACTCAAAAATAAGAGGAGAATTTCCTCTATCTCATAATTACTTCACTCTATCTGGAAAATATATAATATGAAGAATTTAAGATCTACTTCCTCCCTCTGCCTTGGTCCCTCAAGAGATCTATAGGGTCAATAAGAGGATAGTGGTTTTGAACTTCATATATGAAGTCACTTCTAACTTAAGAGTATCATTGCCTCTTAAAGTCTGTTTTCTAGAAAGTTAAAAGTAATATTGTTCCTAGAATGCTGAGATTTTGACACTTACATGAAGTGTCTGGTTAGCTATGACTTGGCTGATATTCTTGGATACCTTTTAGAGATGCCACTAATGCAAGACCCTTAATAGGGCTTGTAATTGTATTTTACAATTGTGTATTTTCATTCAGTCACCTGTGGTCCTTGACCAGTCCCTGAATCTGCAGTGGCATACAAAATGTTCATGGGGCTGAGATGAATGAGATGCATCACATTGTTCTTACACCCTCTTTAGCTGTTAGAGCATGACTCTTCCAAAGGCAGGGAATAGCAGTGATTGCTCAGTGAATTACCAGTCCATTGCTGATTGGTGTAGAGTGTCCCGTGAGATCTTAGACTCCCATCATGGATCTTCCCTGGTGTTCCCAGCTGGGTCACTTTCTTTTGCAGCAAGGGTGCAGTTTACAGCAGCCTTCGAAATGGCACATTCTACTGTCAGTCACCTTGTGGCTCAAGCACAACTTTCTTTCCAGGGCTACATGTGGCTCACAGCCATCTTTTTTGTTTGCCTCATTTCAAATGTTCTATAGCGGCTGAAGTTCTGGACTTAGCCACTGCTTCCATCAGTGGAAGAAAATGTACAGACACCTTGACTTTCTGTGTAGGTCATGACACAGCATTAAAGATTGTTTCTGAAAAGTAGTAGTTCTGTGTGTGGGTGTTTGTGGGTGTTTTTTTCCTGCTGGTTTTGTTAGTTTAGGAGACTTACAGATTTGGGATCTAGAAGTTAGGATCTGTGCCTTTGAGGATGCTTATTTGTTCCTGTAGTTATCCTGGTTCTAGCAGAGTAGACTCAGATCTTTGAGGAGAAGGGTTTTTCCAGATTATAGATTCCTCCTCCCCACCTCTGTATTAAACTAAAGTGCCTATAAGAAGCATCTGAAACAAAATTCAGAAGTCTGAACAACCAGTCTTCCCAAATCTTGGGTTCAGAATCCTGACGGGAAAGGATGCGCTTCGGCCAAAACCAACAAAGAGAGGAGCTTATTAGCACTTGTTTTGTTGGGCTATTTTTCTGTCATCCAAATCTGTAATCACCCTTTTCAACATAAAAAGCAAAGCCTAATCGAAGCTTCTTGTAATTCTGTCTCTGAGAGTTGAGTTGATGAGGGTCTTCAGCGCAATGATTAAATATTTAATTTTTTTTTTTCCTGGTCTACAAACCACTGTAAATTACTCAAGTTCACTTGTAAAGGATACTTTGGTGCCTAACGTATTGCTCATACTAAATATGACTTGGACCTGTTCTTTGAGAATCTTTGCCCAGGCCTTTAGCAAGGTTCCTGGCAGATGTCAGCTGCCCTTCTGCTGGATGTCTTTCTGCAGAGCGTTTTCCCCTAGCAGTCTGAGGGGAAACTGCTGTGTTCTACTCTTGCTCTGAACTGGATAAGTAGATGACTAAAGAATGAGTAGCGTGGCTGTAATATTGAAGGTATTAATTATTACATGAGTACATAATGCATAACATGATGGGACAAGGGTGGTTGTTAGCTTTATTTTTATTCAGGTCTGGGATCTGGTTCACAGAAAGGTCACCAGCCTAAATGTCACATGGCCTGTCAGGGATGACTTCAGCTGTTGTATACGTTTGTTTTAGCTTATTCAAGCCTAAAATATCTAAATCCTCTGAAAGACTGAAGTGAAGAATGTCATCACATGACTGAGTTTCTTTTCAAATGGAAATGCAGAAAACTATTTAAGATAAATGGGTTTCAAGTTGTGACAAAGGAAGTGGTTTTAAAGCATAAAGCACAGCTATGAAATGGACAGCAGAACAGCATGAGGTTTTGAGTACTTACGCAAGTCCACTTCAAAGAAAGATTGCCCTAAAAGTGTAGGCTAAATTTGAGCAATGTTCTATGTAGAAAACTATGTATAGTTGACCTTTTGAAAGAGAGTAATATGAAATTAGGACATGAATTCATGTCTAGCGAATGCAATGTTTAACACTTTGAATATAGGCCAAAAGAATTAGTAATCTGTATATTGCAAATGAAACGAAGTTATTGCATCTGGTTGCAGGTGACATCTTTTTTTGTGTTTTGCTTTTTTCGTACTGATAGCATTGGAATTTTTAAAAGATGTTATTTCAATGCATAATAATGGAAAAACAAAGAGGTGGTTTGCACTGACCTGTTTTGGAAATACACTGCTTTTGACCACTGGTCTTCTAGAGAAAATAAACGCATGGAACTACTTCTGCAATCTTTATTCTAAAAGACCTAATCAGTTTAGGAAACCAAATTTGAACAGAAGTTCAAGAAAAAGGATTTAGAAAATAGGACTAAATAGTTGGTTAATTAAAGAGCATCATCTGACCTCAAAACAGTGATGCACGGTATAAATCTTAATGCCTTTGGGGGTGGGTGGGTGGGTGTCCATCTCCAAGATGCTTAGATGTGAAGTTTTTTTATTAACAAGAATGTAATGGTTCTTGGCATACGAACAGAATTACAAAGTTCCATGAAAATGCTTTTATCTTGCCTTGCCCCAGTGCCAATGTCAAAATGCCAAGCATGCATGTAGAACTTCACTGCAAAATATAGCTGAATAATGTATGTTGTGAAAGCGAAGGCTACCTGGCTTTAGTAATGCTGAATATTTGAGTATGCTGTAGATGAACGAATGGGTGTGCAAGAGTGTGAAATATCCTTTAGTACTACAGTGGGAATTACACTTCATACAGAGCAACAACAGTCAGTAGATTATCTTAAGTGTGTGGTGTTTTTTTTCTCCTTATCACTAAAGCTTTCTAGAGGTAGCATCACATCTGTGAAGACAGACTAGGTGAGGTTGTGACCGTGATGACCCAGCTATTTCGCTTAGCTTGTTGCAGCTGCCACCAGTTCTTCTCACCACCAAAAAATACCCTTTGGGATCTTTATATAATTTCACTTGAAAGCCACTTGATACAGACTGAGATATTGGTGAATATCTTTGACAGCTATCCACTGATGGACCGTAAAGTGTATTGTGTATCCTATAAAAAGGTGAAATCAAAGCTCTTTACTGAAGACGGTGTTTTCATTTTCAGGTTCGCTGGATGATGTATTGGATTGTGTTTGCTCTTTATACAGTTACTGAAACAATAACTGACCTAACAGTATCTTGGTAAGTCTGCTTTTTAATTAACTTTGGATGTAACTATATTTGTTTCTGATGTTCTTCATGAAAATTAAATCAGTACAAATCAAAGAAGATGCACTTGTAGATAGCTTTTCTAAGGTAAAGCTCTCAAGAGTGTACGTGAAGAACAGCACCTGTTTTCATAATTGCTGTATACTAATTCTCTGGAAGTAGGGACTACGAAACTGCTGCCTTTGCGATAGAATCTGAATAGAAGAATTGAATTCTTAAATGGATAGATTATGCTTTTTTGTGCAGAATTGTATCAAGCAAAGCAGGTTTGTTACCCATTTCCATTTTTTAGGTGACATTAAATTCAAAAATTAATTTTGTAGACAGCTTGCATAATTTTTGCCTTATGTAACTTCTGGTAAGTGAAGAACTCTGTGCTAACGTTTGATTGTCTTTTTTTGCAAAGGCCTCTTCTTGCTGGTGAATTAGGGTTTTTTGTTGTTGTTTTTTATTGCAGTTGTTGACTCTGTGCAACCTAACTTTTCCGTAGGTTTCCACTGTATTATGAATTGAAGATTGCTTTTGTCATTTGGCTCCTTTCCCCATATACCAGAGGGGCAAGTTTAATCTACAGGAAACTTCTCCATCCTCTTCTTTCCTCTAAAGAAAGGGTAAGAAATAACTGCTCCTATATTTTAATGCCTAATGTGGAAGTACTGTATGCTGGTAAGCTTAACCTAGTAATAAAACTTTTCAAGATGAATGATGTCGATGACCCTTCTGGTGTGCCAACTGAAAAGAGATGAGGGGAGACTTTTTTTCTGAGGTATAAGGGAGGACCAGTCAATAACAGAAAACAGCAAAAGTAGCTTTAGCTTTGGCCAGAGGATGACAGGGCCACAGGCTTGCTTAGCTGTTTTTCATTGTTCTGTTTGGATTTATGGGACTAGTGATTAGCAAAAGTGTGACGGCTACACTAAAGAACCTCACAGTACAGAGAGTGGTATTCATACCAGTCAGTGCTGGGCCTGGTCTTTATTAGGCAAATGATGCAGTTGATGTGATTATGTCCATATCAGTAGTAAGGTCATCTTGATCTTATGACTGTTGAATTGCAAACAGTTTGTGACTTCATAAGCTAAAGGATTTTTTTTCTCCATAGTCTGCTAGCTGTTGTGAACTATCTTGAAGCTTTTATCTCCAGCTCCAGGCATTCAGTGCAGCAGGAGATAAATGTCATGACTATATTGCCCTTGATACTGAACTATGTCAAAGCTCTGGCTTCGGTGAGCCAACTCCATCTTTTCAAGAAACTCTTCAGTTTTATCTTGAGCGTATTCGTTCTTGAACAATTTTTGTCTGGCAAGTTAAGTTTATTCTCAATGAAGGACTTTTTATGTTGCTGTAATGTTTGAGTCAGACACAAGTGATTTACAATCAAATTTATCTTCTCATTTGACCAGACTTGACAAATGGTAGGGTATATATGAATTAAATACTATATCAGCATACAAAGGCGAGAGTAGTTATCCTTTTACATATTTTTCTTAAAGGTTTCTTCTATCTTCCCAGTATTTTTTTTCTATCAATAAGGGAGGGTAATATGATTCTCATAGACAGAGCCCTTTCAAACTTGAGTTTGTTCTGCTTTTGCTTCTAGGAGATTGATGAGTATATTGTGCAAGCCAAAGAAAGAGGCTATGAGACCATGGTGAATTTCGGAAGGCAAGGGTTGAATTTGGCAGCAACTGCTGCAGTGACAGCAGCTGTGAAGGTAACTCTTTGCTTGCCTTAACTGCTTTTATCCTTGATATACTTACTGAGCAGTGCAATGGAATCGAGGATTTGCCCTTCGTGAATGAAGAGATTAATTCTGCAAGTATATTGAAAACGTGGAACGCAATTTGTTGACTTCATTTGTTTAAAGTGGCTTGTACTTATTTATTGGATGATGGGGACCAGTTTACTGTAATTCAGAAGATATCATACAGTTTTCTATGCAGGCTGTTAGTAAAGATGACCATTGTTTCTCTTCTGTCTCTGTTGTGCTTTCCTGTTGGTAAACAAAGTATTTATAGGATTTCTGGCTTCTTTCTGCTGTTTTCCTCCAATCAACTTGAGGTAACTGCATATATGAAGTAAGGCATGAAAAATTACTACCACAGATAAGTTATATTGACACGATTAACTTGTTTGCAACTTATTGATTGAAACATTTAAATTAATGCACTGAGCGTAAGCTTGCATATTGCTGTTTAGCAACTCTTGCTCTGTCTTTGTATTGTATCTTCCCTTAAACCCCAAAGTAAAGTAATCTTTGGTTCTTCCTGATTTGAGTTCCCTTCAGAACTCATGATCTGCAGTTGAATTTCAGGTGGTTCTAGAGCAAGGGAAAAAATTGTAAGTTCAAAACTAAAGCTTTTAAGCAACTAGTGACCTGCCCAAAGGAGTAGAACTGACCGGCATAATGACTCCTTTGTAATGTGTATCCTACCTAATACTCCATTTAAACACAAACAAGTAGTGTGGGTAGAAGGAAGTTTATGTTCTAGCTAAATGATCATTTCAAGGCTATCGGGACTAATTTTCTCCTGGAAATATATGGAAGCGTTGCGTTCATAGTAACAGGACTGAAAACTTGAAAGCTGTTAATGGATGTCATGAAGCAATGTAGAGATCTAGGTTGTCTAAGTTAAGTACAGTTAGCGTTTAACTTAAAAATGCCTTTGATTTCTCAAACAAAAAGCTCATATACAAACACAGGAATTTCTTAAGAACTGCATTTTCAAATGCTACTTCAAAGGAAAGCTTTGGAAAAGATTAGGTATTCTGTTTGTGCATGTTCTCTCTCTTTAAAGATGTACGTGGGTAGTACTTTAAAAATAACAGTTCTGTGTAAAATGAGCATAATGAGCTTGAAATATTGAAAATGTGCTTCAGTTTGGTCACTGGTTCTATTATTATTATTCACGTTCTGAGTATTGCCTTAAGGCATGAAATAATTTAGAATTCAATAGAGTATACCTCCAGAGGAATAATGGTATCCAGCATGAAAATGGGTCATTTAAAAAAAAAAAAAAAAAAAAAAAACCTCTAAAACTCAGTGTGTTGCTGGGAAAAACTGAGCTGTGCTATTCTAAATGCTAAAAGTGCTAATTTTTTTGCCAAACAGCAATAGTAACATACCACAGTATGCACCTGTAATGATACTTATGTTGTGTTTTTTCCTCATGTCTGGCTGGCTAAGGATGGATGTTTCCCTGTTAATCCTTATAGTGCTACAGAAATATTGTAAAACAAATAACATGCATACCTCCTCCCACTTTCTTCCCAAGTAACAAATAACTTTTGCCCAAATGTCCATGTTTGGATTTCATTGCTGTTCGGCTGTGACTGGCAAGATGCCTGCTCTGTTTGTTAAAACTTGTTAAACATGCTCATGAATATTTGTACAGAATTAGTTCAGTGCAGATGAGACACTTGGGCAAAACATCCACCACAATACCAAATACCTAAAATAGACATGATTTCTAAAGAGTATTAAACAGGAGACTCTCAGGAAAATCTTTATTTTGGCATGTTAAACCTCTCTGCAGTTTGTCATTCCAAAAAGCTGAGTGTGACTGCTCTGTGCAAGCAAATGGAGACAATGCATGTGTTCTTGATTTTGTTCCCTATTTTTCAAGAGCTGACTGCTGCCTCCAGCAGGTGAAAAGATTATCCCTTCAGCATGAGGTGGTGGAGTATGCTATAGGATTTCAGGAATGGAATCCTCTTAGTGGAAACAGTTCTGATGGGAAAGAGACACCCTTTCATCACTTTTTTTTTTTTTTTTTTTTTAAATAGAGCTGGCGTGCTTATTCTGATATGGTGGATCTCAAATTAGGAGCTGAGACTGGAAGGCCAAGTGTGAGAGGAGGTCTAAAGAAAGCTTCTACTCACTAAAGTGCCCAAGCAAAGGACACTAGGATCTCTGCCTAAGCTGACTTTAGAGGGGTGGTAAAATTGCCTGGAAACTCTCTGGAATATTTACAAGATGAAAAGTGGGAAAGAACAGTGTTCTCCAAGGGCTGTCAGAGGAATGTGGGATTAGTGCTGAAAGGCTAGTTGGCTGAGTAGGGGAGGCTGGAGCAGACAGACACGCCCTAGGTCCGTCTACTGAAATTTGTCATAGATTTAAACCTGCTTTACTGTAGTTAAGTTGAAGTGTAATTGGCAAAAGTAATGGCTTCTGGTTTACATTCGTATACTGACGTTTTTGGCTGGTATTAGCCACTCTTCACGTAAAATGCATCTCCAAACAATACCTTTTCAATCAAAGTTGCTTTTTCCTTCTTAAGCAGTTGACAAGAAAGTGTGTTTACCCAGTTTGCCTCCGTTGACTGTATTGGTTGACCTGTACCACTTGAAACTATTTCAAAATCTGCTAAACAGCATACATTAGAAAAAAATTGTGTTGCTGTCATGTTAATTAAGAAAACGTCTTTCTAAGATCCTAAATTCAGGATACTTAAGAGATGAAGTATACTCTAGGTTGACCTTTACGGTTTGTTAATTAAAAAACCAAAACTTTCTTTAGGGTATAAAAGACTCATTAAAGGGATTTTGTTGCTAATGTGAAATTTGTTGGAGCTCTTCCAGTTCAACTGTATATGGATTTTTGGAACTTATGCCCACAATGCAAAGTTCCACAAATATGTCTTATATTTTGATGCGTTTGCTTTCTAGATCCTTGGAGACATGAGTTGCCTGTACATTCCAATTTTTGTCAGCACTTACGTTCTGACTTCTCAGGCTACTAGAGAAAACGAGTTTCAACACTTGTGGGAAAGGTAGCTAATTAAGCTGTGAAATACGTTATCCTCTTATGCAAGGTCACATAACTATTGTTCATTTAAAAATATTTTTTAAAAACTACTTTTTTGAGGGCATATGTTTCTGTATGCCTTCTCTACATCCCAAGTCTGCTACCTCTTGGCTGATTAAGGTTGTTCTAAAGGCCTTGCTCAGTCTGCCCCTTCTTCCAGCTTGGTGCGTGATTTTGCAGCCAACTGTGGCCTATAGCCAGTATTACTGTTAGCAGCTCACTTCAACAGCTATATTGCTTTCATCCCTCCCTCTGGCATGGTGCGGAGGTCATTCATGGGACAGCCATCCCCTCTCTAGGCTGCAAGGGAGCAGGAGTGGCCCCCCTGTCAGCCACAGATCCGGGGAGAACAGCTGGGAATGTGGGCACTGCACGCGGCAGCTTAGGGGCCGGGAGGTCCCCAGCGGCTCTGTGTGCATGGAGGCTGTGCAGAGCTTGTTCCACTGAAGGCAGGCAGCTTTGGTCAGTGATCCAGGCAACTGAAGGGGACCAAGTCCAATTTCAACAAAGCTGAGTCCCTGAGGCAGATGCAGTGTGTGGTGTCTGTTTACAACAACCATGGGTTAAGTACATAGTCTGTAAAAATACCCAAGCTAGCAGAATAGAGAAGGGCGTTCCATATATGAGGGTCAGCTGAAGAGACTGCATGCTAATAACTTTCTAGTGTCTGAGTAGTCTCAAAGCAGTCCATTTAAGTAGGCTATATCTACTTAAAACTAGACCTAAAACCTGTTAACAGCTTACAAACTGGTACTCCAGACTGCTCACTGGTCATGAATGTGGTCTCTGAAGAATATTTAATGTGTTTCAGGAAATACTAATGAAAAAATAAGCAGACTCATTCTTTAATAGTTAAGCTTTCTTTGTCTTAAACAGAACACCACAATTCATTACTCTTCAATGTTTGTTTACATTCAAACATGAGCCACTGAAGTTGTTCTATACATCTTTGCCTGTGCTGTAACTGTAAATATCTGGTTCAGTGTGCTCTTATGATATGGTCTAGTTGGCAATCTCTGGGCTGGATCTAGCCCACAGTATCTCTTCCTTACTGATAGGAATTGTAGAGTAATTGGATACCAGTGCAGGCATGTAGCCTGGCATGGAGCCAGAGGGGAGCTGCAACTGTTGCTGCTCTTGTGGAGGGGGCCGGACCTCAGGTGGCTGTGTGCGTGGCCAGGGCAGGGCTGATGGCTACTGCCATGCCCCTGGGGTGAGGGTGGGAGCAGAAGAATCCCCCTTCAGCCCCTCCTGCGCATGGACTGTTGTCTTCCATTTTGCAGGCAAACATCTTGCTTTCAAGCTGTGGCCAGAGAGTTACTCTCTTCCTATTTTCTAAATAAGATAGGAAAACTCCTAATACATAATCTTCTAAATGTGAACATTGTTCTTAGGTTTCCTTTAGCAGATGATGTTTAATATTTTTCAGATGGGCTTTCATTTTGAGCTGCAGGTAATCCAGATCTTCATGAAAAGCTTACTTTCAATACAAAGCAATTACCTGTTTCTTCAGGGCTTTGGTGGTGAAATAATCTTCTTAAAAGGAGGAGGAGGAGACTATGGGAGACTGTAGGGAGTATCTGCATAAGACTGTACAATATGTGACACTGGTTATGCAGTACAGCAGTGGATGTAAAGCCCCCATTCCTATTGTGACTGTCAGGCATATATGCTGCATCTAATATATGTGGGTTTTTTCAAACTTCTTAATATTTGTTGCATGCATAACTTGAGTGAAACTTTCCATCTTGGCAAGTACTCTTGGAATGAAGGCGCCATCTATTATGTCCTCGTTGAATGAGGCAGTGTTCCACGAGAGCTCTCGCCTCGGAGCTGGGCAGTTTGGTTAAGGGCACAGTGTTATTCTATGGCACATAATTTGACTTTTTTCCTTTGGAACCGAAATTCGGTATGCAAAAGCTGCCTTGTGAAAGAAGGCTGAAAATTGCCAACCAGGACCTAATCCCTGGCCCCTCCAGTGAGGAACAGTGAATATAGGCTTGTAACTTGAATTCTTCCTGGTACATTATTTATTATAATCCTAATTGTGTTATGCTATACAGTTTCCATATGATTATTACATCACCTGATGAACAAACTCATTATGCGGCTATTAAGCAAGTGTGTTCTTTCTGTACCTTGCTTAGGGCCAAATCCAGCTTCTGTCACTATGCTATAGTAGACGCTCTCTAGTTTTAAGGCTAGAGAGTTGGGCTGAATTTATATGGATTCTGCTGAGAACTGAATGGGTCTGTTTCATGTATTGATCAATGTTCAGTGACAGACTGGGCTCCACTTGCATCTCTTCCAGGAGTGTGTGCAGACTGACTGACAGACTGTGCATTGCAACAAATACTTTAAGCTGGTATTTGCTGTCAAAGGAAGCAGTCCTGTCTCTTTGTGTTTTCTTGTGTCCTCACAGCTGGGTGTTAGTCCTCAGTATAGCTGGTTCCTGATACAGTTTAAAATGCAAATGTTTTTCATGCAAGAACAGGAGTAGCAAAAGGGCAGGATGCCTGTTGTAGTGACAGACAAATGAACTTAAGAACTTATTTGAAGTGTTTGTGGAGCAGCAGTCAGCTCCAAAGCAGGGAGTGGCTAAGCAAGCCATTTAACTTCAGAATTTCTAGCATATTTTACACACAGACTTTGCAGTGTCAATAATGCGTTGTAACTCAAAGCCAAAAACTGCAGTTGTGTTCTTGAACTGTTACTCTTCCTACATGTGTGTAGGAAGAACTGGAAAAATGGAGGCTTCTGCTTCCCTCATGAGGAACTCTTTCTTAATTGTTTAATTGCGATGTATGACTGATGCTGTAAGAACTGGATTATGTGGTTCTTGCCTGTGTAGAATGCTCTCTTAATTTTACATGTGGGGTTAATGACTAGTCATTAGCCCAACAGAGTATTTGGTTTCAGCCACTCCCTCCCCCACCCCTTGTGCAAGCTTGAGGACTGTCACTCCACTCTGTGCTTTACGTGGCTTTTTTAACAGGGATGAATTTAGTGTGCTGGCCTACCATCTGCAAACAGTTGTTGGCACAAGAATGGTAACAAATGGTTGGGGCCAGTGGTGCAAGAACTGCCTTAGGCTGATGCTGCTGCCAAGAAAGGTGTGGCCCGAGCACACTTCTGCTACTGTTAGGTAGTGTTCATATGAGGAATTTTACTCAAATACTTAATTTCTAAGAATGAAATCAAATCTTGAAGCCTTGTTCAAGATGGGATTCATGCACAACAGCAGTCAACCTTCCTCTGAAGTTGTGCAATTTTTGTTTCGTATGCCCAAGAGGGAAGAATTAAATGTTGTTTTAACATGACATTGAGTAATGTATTTGTTCTTCAGGTTGCCTAGTACAGTAAGTTGCATCTGATCTTACTGTACAGTATTAAAGATTAAGATGCTTGACAAAACTTCTCCCCAAAGGGAGACTTTCTACATCTGTCATGTAGAAGAGATGTAGACAAAGACTATAAGGAATGCTAATGTTCAAATATGATTAACTGTCATTGCATGTAGTGTTAATTTTTGGGTTTGTATTATCTTACTTAAAGATGCCCTAGTAAGAGCACCTGCTAGGCTGTAGTCCAGACAGAACCTCTTTGGTTTATGGTTTCAAGTTTCTGTCAACTAGAGCTTTTGTAGTGCTGGTGGTTTTCCAGTCATTTGGGTTAATGTTGCATTGTATTTTCACTGCTATTTTCCTTTCTTCCATGTATACACATTTGTGGAAGGTAAAATGTAAAATTTATATTTATCTTCAACGACATCTTTTTTTTTAGATGAAAGTGTTAAAACCACTGCCATGCTACCTAGCACTGCTTCAGAAATATGGCGTTCAAAGTGGATTGAGCATATCTGATGGATTTTGTAGTTCTAAATTTCCCCCCCCACCCACCCAGAAAGCCATTATTTGCTCAGATTGAGAGAAATGAGACATTAGTGATGAAACTCTGAACAATCCTTAACCTCTTTCCCCTGAGTAACATGTGGCTAAGCTTGGGTAAAAGCAATACTTAACAGCAAATGTAAATTTACTGCATGCCTATGTTCAATGAGTTTTGTAATACAGTAAGAAAGCTTGGGCTTAACCGTCTTAACCCAGCTTGAAAGGTGAAGTCAAAAACCTCTCTGTTTTCAGAGATACTCCTCTTGTATTTCAGAGTCAAGGTGCAATAACTGAGAAACTGAGAAGTTTTAGTATGCATGACTTGACTACTATACAAGGAGATGAGCCAGTGGGACAGAGACCTTATCAAACACTTCCAGAAACAAAAAAGAAAATCAGAGCGTCTGCAAGTGAATCTTCAGGTAAGTATCTGTATAAAACTAAAGGATTTTGGTTTTGGCTATAAAACAGCGCATGAAAGACAAAAGCGGGGAAGAATAGGAGTACGTTTTCCATCTAGAAATGGTAAAGGCTCCAAAGGATTCCTGCACGTTTGAACAGAGTTGATTTGAGCAGGATACATTGCATCAGTTAAATACCTCCAAAACTACTTTCTTCTCACAGCCAGTAACAGTGTAGTCAACATGCTCATTACTCCTATCTTTGGCACTTAGCAACAAGAGTTACTAGCCATGGTAAAACTTAATGAGGGGAAGATAATAGTAAGAATGAGAACATTAAGTTGTCGTAGTAGGCTGCACATCAACACTGAAAAGATGGTGTGTAGTGACCAATGTGTTTCTGCGGAAGACTTCCTTTATTAATGCACTGTTCTCTTCAGCTTCTGCTGCTTAAAGAGACTTCAGCAGATATGTCGTTTGTCCCTTTCTAAATTGAGAGGCTAAAATGTAAAGTGGATGGTATTACAAAAGCTTTGTTCATTTGGTTGGTTTTGCTCCCTTGCTTCCACCCCCCCACACACCTTATTTTAATTAAGCCTCTCTTTCCTTTACACCTCTCCATTTTGGGGGAGCAGTGGTGGTTGTGGAGTATAAAGAATTCCGAGAATCAAATGGTATCCCACAGTACCTCTGAGGAATAAATAGCTGCATGAATGGCCTGAAGCTCAATTGTTTATTGAGCCCAGGTGGTGGGTGTCCTGTGCAGGTCAGTGTAAAGACAGGGGTACTGGCCAGAGGAAAGGCCTATGAATTTGCTGAGCTGCATTACAGATGATGTCACTGCAGCTGTTGTGCAGGGCCTATTCCTCTGTAACAGAGCATTAGTTATTTACCTGAACTAACTTGAAAATGCTCAAAATTCAAATTTTCAATAGAAATTATTTAGCTACAGATTATGGTACATAAATAACCAGTAATTATGAGATTCAGTCTCATGTTAAAACAATTTGTTAGAATTAGTTTAACTTTCTGAATTGTTTCTACTTCTGGACTGAAATCTACTATTCTGGACCAAAATCTACTAGGCTTTTCTGTGTATGTGCTTTTATATTTAAAAAAAACTGGAAGTTCCTACACAAGCCAGTTGGAAAGACCTAGCTGTTGTGAAAAAGGCAAATGTGATCTTGATGCTTCAGAAGAGATGTATCAGTACAGATAAGGAAGTAAGTGTAAGTCTCCCTCCATGCATTCCTAATGAGATACTGTTTGGAATACAGCATATGATGCAAATCTTCCATGTTCAATAAGAGTGAATTAAAGCTGTATTAGAGGCATAGACAGGTTGCTGCTAGAATGGCAAAGGAGGCAAGTCTGCCTCGAATAGATGTGAAGTAGATGAGCTTGATCCTAAACTTAGGAAAAGAAAAGCTGAAAAGGGGAGGTTGAGGGAGTAAAAAAGGATCAAGAGAAAGTCTACTTAAGCCTAAATAAACTGCTGACTAAAGTTGTCTTAATGGACACTTATCATAAATAAGACTAGTTTTGGGGTCTGAAAGATTGTCTGTAAGTGTTAGAGCCTGTAGGTTCTGGAATGGTTTTCTAAATGGAGGCCTGGGTACAAAAAAGACCCCTTTTGAGGGCCTTATGATATGTCTGTGATGGGAGACTGGGCCTTCATGACCCTAAAGATCTTTCCAGCACTTGTTTTTAAGCAGTTTGCACCCTCTAGTGAGAGTCCCTAGTAATAATCTTGGTCCTAGTTTGCAGGGTTTAAATACCTTAAAAATAACACTTCAACATTGTATCTATCTGAAATGAACTTTGATATTAAATATGTACAGAGGTACATGAATATGAGGAAAGATAATCATAGATTTAAAAACCCTAGTTCTAGATCCTAAGTTATAAGTGTGAACAACTCTGGCAGTAAACTGGAGAAATGAAGTAGAAAGGTTAGGACTCCTTCCTAGAGGAGGAGGAGGAGGAGGGCAGTCAAGTAGGTTGGGAGAAGAAACATCATCAGTTGATGTTAATTAAGCTTACATGGAATTGGAAAGTAAATCATGAAGAACATTGTTCTTTTTCTTGCTTTTAGACTTCCTAGTTTTCATCTGGCATTTAATCTAATGTCTCTTCTGGGACTCAAGGCATGCTACTAAAAAAAAAAAAAAGCACAGATATATTATAATTCCTAAGTGAGAAATAACATGAAACTTGGAACTATTTTATTATTAAGGCTGCTGTGAACTTGTCATGAATACAGTATTTTGCGTTAATCCTAAACTGCAGTAACTTAAACTCTTCCAAGTAAACATGAAGCTGCGTTCTAGTTGCTAGAATGTGTCAGTGAACTTTTTCATTTGGAGGGAATCCTCTGTGGATGGAAGACCAATGTAGAATTTTTAATGGGAACAGTAAAGGCAGTGGTGATGGGAAGGGAGGAGGAAACTAAACTTGGGCAACTAGAAACCTTCTGATTTGCTTTTAATTCTGAGATAGTAAAACCAGCAAGTCTAGTGTAAAATATGAAGCGATGCACAGACACTTCTCTGACTTTTTGATGCTAAGGTTTTAAAGTATGTAGTAAGTTCAGAATTTACAATAGGGATGGTGGAAGGTAAGTCTCCCATGTAGTAGCTTTTATCTGTAAAGGCAGAACTTTCAGCATAATATATTGTAAGTTGTCAGGATGTGAAGAGGTAGTTACTGTTCAGATGACTGGTCTCAGTGCCAGTGTTAATGCATTTATTAGTGACTGTGGAAGACGAGAGGATACACATAAAATGTAGGCGAGAGATCAGAATGAGGATTTTCATCCACCTGTGCACAGTAGTGTTTTTTTCCTAAAATAGCCTTCAAACAGCATTGTGGCAAAGAACTTAAGTACGTCTCAATGACCAATATGGCTTTTCCAGTTCAATGCAAAGCAAAAAATAACAATTGATGGTTTAATTTTAGACAGTTTGATAACAGATTGGTTTAATTTTTAACAGTTTAAGGGACCGTTGCATTACATACCTGTGGAATTAAGTGGCTTGTACTCTACAAATTGCAGAATGCATTGCTCCTGGTAGACTAGATGCCTTTTTTCCCCCCCCTCCAAACAGCTGGCAGACTAATATATCCTTTAGATAAATAAAGGATGTGTGTTAAAGATGAAGCTCGTAGCTTTTATTAGAAATCTAAGAGTTTCAGCTATGTCCTATCAGACCCTTTTACACACCTATTTTTTTAAAGGTTACAAAATTCCTTTGGAAAAAAATCCTGGAGATGATAAAACAGATGAAGAGATGGAGGGGACCCATTCAGAAGATGAGATGTTTGCTGAGAGAGGCCTTCGAAGGTCTCAGAGCATGAAATCTGTGAAAACTATTAAAGGCCGTAAAGATGCAAGTATAATTTTACTTAAGTATTGAATTTGTTTAACAATGTACCTTGATGCTTTTAATGCAGGAATTTAAAGTATTTTTTTCTTAATCTTAGAGGGGTTATCAATAATAACTGGGTTGTAGAATGTCATATGGAAAAGGAAGTATATGATAACAATATCAAAGCTTGGAGCTCTTGTACTTTGGGGTGCTTAAGTGGAATATGTGTGTGGGGGGGGAACTATGTAGAATTAAAAGGGAGGAGGAGATGGAAATAGATATGTGCTTGTGACGTTAGTACTGGCACCTCCAAGCCCAGATTCCAGAAACTGCTTGCCTTGGGAGGGGGTATAGATAATGTTGTCACCTGCATTTGAGCGTCCTAGTTGTGAGCGCTTACATGTCTGCTGTTTAATGGATGAAAGAAGATTCAGATTTTTTGGTTCCCATGGATATTTTGAGCAATCACATATTGCCTGCTTTCACTTGTCACCCCACTTTTGTAACCACAAAGAGAAGTTTCTGTGTAGGATTCAAAGTCCTTTGTATATATGTGTGTCACAGAATTAAAGATTCTTCAGAATAAATGTCTATGGAATCTCACAAGAGCTCTTAAGTAATTCTGAGAAAACAGTTGACTCTCCCTTCTTGTCTCGTTTTATTGAAAAGGCAACTCTGCCATAGCTAGATTAACTTACTGAATACACGGAGTGCCTGAAGTGCATTAAAAGACATTTTACTGAATTGCAGTAGTAGAAAGTTTATTTTTATTAAATATTATTCACATAATATTTCTGTGTGTAGTGATTGTAACTTTTTGTTAAGTTTTGATTTTTTTTTCTCCTCAGATACGATACGGATCACTGAAATACAGAGTGAAGAAGAGACCTACAGTGTATTTTTGAGTGTACTGCACAATGCCTGCAAGACAAACTGCTGTAGTATTACTTGACTTCAGTACATCAAGTGTTTAAGATCTGTCTGTATAATTCATATAACAAATATGTATGAATAGATATGGGAGGACTTGGTTTTATGAGCCCGTTGGATAAAGTATTCCTTTGCTTTTCTGTAATTGCTTATTGGTCAGACATAAATCTGGCCAAGTTCTAGTATGAATTTCAGCACTCATTAGATAAGAATTAAATGAGTGACAGAAAATAGCATGGCTTTTTCCAGGGGTACTAACAGACCCAAATAATTGAAGTCCAATTGAAGTAGCAGAAGCTGTAAGTATTTGGAACTCATGCTGTCAAACCTAGTATCCCCTAGATTACAGGGAAAGATAGGAATACTTTGAATATTTTTCTGAGCTACAGTTCCTGAGAAGGCCTCTATGTAACTTAAAAAGGTACTGTTTAAAGGGCAGTGAATGAAGGTGGGGAAGGAAAAGGAAAGACCAGATAGATCTAGTATATTCTTAAGATCTTCTCTCATCGTATTTCCAAGCTTGAGAAACTTACATAATACTAATGGGTGCAAACTGAGGGTACGTGTAGCACTTTATGCAAAACTACATAGTTTTGCACACTACTAACTTACAGCTGTACATGTCATTTTAGTGACTTTTTAGGTAGGTTAGATTTTATCTTTTGAACGCCAGCAATTCATGTATTTCATAGTCCTTAAAGTTATCTTGATTTGCTGAAGTACACCTAAGATGCTGTAGATAACATTAAGTGTTAGAAGCAGTTATCATGTGCCTTTCTGTATGTTACAGGGCTGTAGGGTATTTTGTCTGTGGTGTTCCCCTCCCTGCCCCCTCCTCAGCTAGAGAGAGGTAAGGCTATGGCTAGGTATGGCTTTACAAAGTCAGTTTTTGGTTTAAATTGTGGTAAGTGAAACTTGTAGCAATTCCAGTGATAGGCTGCTCAAATCCCTGAGGCCTATCAGCTGTGTAATAGAAGTCATGCTGACATGAAGGCATGTATTATAGACTATTCAGGCCATAGGTTGTTTTTGCTCTGGATTACTTTAAGAAAAAATATATATATATATATATATATGTGTGTGTGTGTATATATATATATTTATAGTGTGAATATTTTATATCATACATGGATTCTAAAATTGGCTGTGTAGTATTTTCTACTGCTGCTGGAGTTACTACTAAAATATTTACATATAAATAGCTTTTTCTAACTGTCTTCTAACTGATTGAGTCAGTCATGCCACAAGCTAGTGTCCCATGTCATAAATATTTGCACGGTAAGATTAACTTTGGAATCTCATTCAAGGCAGGGACTTGTCAAAAATGACCTTTCGAGGTTCCTTTTGGTTCTATTTTCTGTAACTTTCAGAGGTAGACTGATTTTAAATTTTCTATGTGACCATTGCTACTGTGGATCGGGGGGAGAAAAGCCCCTACTCCTTGTAGATAGTATTTTACTACTTGGCATTGGCAGACATGGTGTTACTTTTCTTTACAGGAAAGTGGTATGTGTTCCCTCTTATCCTTGGATCTTGGACGCTGATCCTTACACCTTCCCCCAGATATGGCAGTCAGCCGCAAGTCTGAGCGCTTTTTAAACTTTTTCTTGAGGCTTGGGTCTGCTGCAGTTCTTTTTGTTTGTATTTTTATAGCTATAACTTCACTGCTGGTCAGCTCTTAATGGCCTGTGACTATGGACTGGCATCTGAAATAGTCTTCTGCAGCCTCTCTTGGGCCAGGGTTTGAATGGCATGGATGAAAATACAGCTGGTCTGCATTGGCATCACACTACTGACTTGCTATAGTAGACGTTTGTAAGTCAAGTGCAGAGTCCGGGACAAACTTAACAGTATTGATGATACAGTGCTTTTAGTGTGCCAAGGGAATTAAATGCTTTAGTAAGACGTCGTAACGTTCCATATGTGACTAAAAGGCCAAAGGTTCTATTCTTTTTCTACGAGATGGAGTAACATACCGGAAGATAGAAAGACTGCTTTCTCCCAAACGACTATGGCACAGAAATGGTACCCTCTAACCAAAACTGTGGTTTGATCTAGCTTTGTAAGGAGCTGGTGCCCATTTGTATTTGGGAATTGGTACCTGCTGCTCTTACTTACTTTGCTAGTCTTACTGTCTGGTATTGGAAGACACTGGGCAGGACCCAGTGTGCTTTTGTAGCCCAGTAGACTTTTACAGCACTGCATTTCTGATTTCTCTGTCCCTCTGCATTGTGTACTGAGTTTTATCCCTTCTTTGGTAGTAAAGCCGACTTGTGACAGAAATCTTTGGGCTTTGGTGGAGGAGATGTTGATGGGGAAGGCAGCCTCCATGGGGTGTGGTTCATCACTTGCACTCCAGGAATGAATGCTTGTGCTTCCCATGTGATTCTCTGACTGTAAGAAACCTGTAGGTAGGGTAAGGCTGTGTCTGGGTGCTTTGGTGTGTAGGAAGCTAAGGAAGAAACAAGGCTTTTGTATTTGCATATACTGCCTCCTTGAAATTTAGAATAATCTAGGTTTTGGATGGAATCTCTTAATTCCTTATTCTCTACTTGAGCATTCTTCTCGAGCACTTGCTGGTGCATCTTGCAGTAACTCATAATATTTGGCTTTTTTTGGTAAGCATGGCAATAAAATTGTCATCTCTTTATAAGTCAGAATCCTGTATGAAGGAGCAGGGTAAGACCTTCTTTCAGAATTACATTCCTGTTACAGGTTCATGTAGATGCTGTTCCAGGGGCTGTATTCCTTGCACACCTCAAGGACTCGAGATCATTTGGAGAGTTTAGGCTCCAGCACAACTGTGATCATTAAGTGGGAGTACATCGGAGGCTGTTGCCTCTGACAAATGTGACTTACTAATTAAGTAGTGACAAAGGCTAAGTTAACACTTTTCTGTCATGATGCAAGCTTTAAAATTCATGGTTAACTCCACAATTAAGGCTTTCCGAGGCAGTACAATCACAGCAGTACAAGGTATTTAACCACATCTCTCAACTGAGTAGTAGCAGGCCAGTTTCATGAGCCAGCTAGCAACTTTGTCAGTAATATTATTTTGTTGTGAAGACAAAATGCAAGAGGTCAAAACATTAGTCTAAAAATATTTCAACCCTTAAACCACCTTTTTCTATCACTCATCTTTTTTTAGTGTATTGTATATAGCTTATTTCTCCAGATCTGCTCCTTTGCTTTTCCTGTTCTAAGGCCACATTGCGCATCAGAACTACCATATTATGGTAGGACATGACTGACTTGGTTTGGATTTATTGCACAGGAAATGTTACTGGATGTGGCTTGCTGTAAATTCACTGCACTAATGAATAGATTCTAATTTGTTTCCCCTCCCCCCTGCCCAAGGGCTCAACTTCTGGAAAGATAAACTCTTCTTTTTCCTGAAACATGCATGAAACTGAGAATGCTGGCAGTATTATTCATTATAATTACTGCTTGTGTATAAATGTACTCATGTGTTCTCAGCTGATACTGTCTTAAGTGATAAAACTTTGTTTTCTTAGCTCAGTTTAATTTCAGTTTAATGTCCTACTGTAAAGCTTTTCCCTGACGGTTTGATTTTTTTGTTGTTGTTGTTTGTTTTCCCTGTAACTGGTTCACTCTTATCTCAATTTTTTTCCTTGCTGTTCATTGTCAGCGGATGTTTGACAGGGCACAATGGCATGACTTGCTTTCATGCAAATGGTATATATTTCTCTCTGCTTGTTGGATTTTAGTTGACTTTGTTTTTAAAATATTATGCACTCTTTTAAACTTTGTCTGTAGGCAATACGCAAAATTTTTTGCCTTAGCAACTGCAGAAGTGATTTATGTAACTCTTGCCAGTAAACTTTTCAGAAAAATGTTAGGTCAAATTTTGATTTTTGTTTAACTTTATTTTGGTTTTTGGAAGTTAAAAATACATAGTTCGTGTCAAATTATGTAATCTTATGAGTGAAGCATTTCCTGAGAACTGACTGACTGCCACCGACAGAACTGGTAATACAGTTAGAGAATAAAAACTTACATAGAGGTTACATGTACTTAAAAGTAGAACGTGCATTTCTTCCTAAATCATGTGATGGTTTCAAGCCTTTCCAAAAAGTGTCTGAAAAGACTCTTAATTTCTCAGCAAGCGCCTGCTGTACACGTCAAAATATACAGTTTGCATTAAATTGATGGTCTTGACTGCAAGTAAAGGCCAGACTCTGATTACAAAGTAATTGCCAATATTAGCTACTTAATGCTAATTATTTTCCTACCTGAAAGTAACTGAATATTATGCCAGATATTTTTTGTGAATTATGATGAATTTTAAAATGAGCAGAAGGCAATTAGGTTAAAGAGAATGAAGTAAATACTAGATGTGGTTAACGTTTATTGTTCATGACAAAAGATGCATTTTATTTTTTGGTGTTGCTTTTATCAATGGGAAGCTGGTATTTTTAAGTTTTGTTTTTTTTTTTTTACAGAAATGTGTGTGTGTAAAGGCAGTACTTTTAACACTTTTCAAGGACTCCTGTTTTTAAATACTACAGACCAGAGACTGTCTGTGTTGAGACTAAAATTAGCTTTAAAAAAAATGCAATGTGAGCTTTAATTTTTATATTGTAACAATAACTTGCTGTCAACTTGTTTACATATTTGTAGGAGGGAAAGCTTCATTATGCATTGACTTATCTTGATTCTGTCTTTAATAAATGCTGCTTTGAGCAGAATGCAGTGGATATTTGATTACCTGGATTATGACTTACAAACTAGTTACTCCCTGTAAACTTGTATTTTATTATGACTCCTGGTACTGAAGCAGTCTATCTGAATTTTGAAGAGACCTTTAAAATTGTTTAAAGCATGACTAAACTGTCATTGAGGTTTTGTCATGGAGCCTGACGTTGATTTAGACTTAAATGAAACCTACCCTGCTAAAGGTAACTTAAATGCAGTAGTTTTACCTGTTTGATTAGATGTTTTGGTGAGAGTAAAATCAAAGAAAGATGCTTAATCCCCCAAAAGAACGAAGGCTCTTGTGGAATCCTTGGAATTCTTTCTAAAAAAACAATGAGAAAAACGACTTTGTGTTCTCAGATAAGCCAGAGAAGGGTGGTAGATGGGTAAACTCAGGCCTTCTCTTTCAAATCTCACTTCAAGTATGCCGCTAACATCCTCATCAAGAACCCAAGCAACAAAAAAAGGGCTAACCTAGTTTTCCAGACCTTTTTTGTTAGGCTTTATTAACTATTTATAGCTGCCTGTATCCTATGCACTGTGACAATATTATCCTGGAAATGTAGGCTATTCATAAAGGAACTTGCAGCAACTCAATTCTTTCATGTCAGAACAGTTCATACAGTACAAAAATACCACCTACTAAAGAAACTGTGGATGTCAGAAAATAATGCTGATCTTCCTCCCTCTTCGTTCTACAAATGTTTAGTGTGTGTGTGTTTTTTTTTGAACTTTTCAGTTTCTACCTTAAGTTGAGAAAACAGATCATTGAGCAGGCGAGCGACCTTAATAGGTCCCATAAAATTAGTAGGTTTTCAAAATTGTTTTCATGCTTTCTGTAGATTTGTTCAGGAACAAAATGGGAGCCTGTCTTGTGTGAAAGTCTACCTGCCTTTGTCAAGGTTTGACAACAGACTGCCATAGTTGAACTAGAGTAGGAATGATGAGAACTGCTGAAGAGAGACTATTAGGACTTTGCATGAAACCTAGAGTTTCTGTCTGCTAATCTACAGTGATTACATGTATGAGGAAACTCAAGGATCACTTGAAGTCCCTGGCATCCATGTTGTCACTGTTCCCAGGTAACTTATTTTTCCCTGGGCAACAATACCAGCTATGTCACGTGGTGCTATTTTCTGAGTGAGCTGTAGCATCCTATTCAATCTTTCCACTAATTTTAGTTCTCCTGGACTGAGAATGCTAAGGGGAAGTCATCCTGGCTTACTACCTCCACGGAAAGAATTTGTTGCAATGGCTAATTGAGGAGAAAGACTTGTGAAAGTTTCTTTCTTTTCTTTAGAAGAAAACCCTTTATAAAGCTAGTGCAATGTTAAAGCTGTATTTTCAAACTATTCTTATATACCTGTGTTCTTCTTAGCCTATTGTGTGTATTGGAGGAATTCACCACCCTGGAGGCGGCCATTTACCTTGCTTTTGTGCCAGACCCTTTTACCTCAGGTCTACTTGGTAAGAACTAACCTCGCTGTTCTTTGTGCCAAAATTGCCAACTTAACCAGTTTCCCCTGTCCATTGGACAGAGTCTTCCTTAGGTGCTGCTCTCTGCAAATCAGATGAAAAGCCACAGGGTGAACAGAGCCCTTCTCGTGGCTTCATTTGGTTTCTTTACTGAGGCGGCAAGCTGAACTGGCTTGTTCTGCAGGTGCCCAGTTATGAGGGCAGACCAGAGAAGAGGCCTGGGGAGAAGCGGGCAGAGCAAAAATGCCCCTCGGTAGCAGTCTGCAATTACCTAGACTAGATTAAATCCTGAGGGAAAAATCCTGCTCCTCACAAAACTGAGGTCATAGAGGGAGAGCTGCTCCCCTTTCCAAACACCTTCGGAGCTGAGCGCGTTTTGCTGTTCTCTCAAGTGTCTCTTGCAATTGTATTTTGTGCAGCTCGTCACGGGAGCGGGCGCTTGCCCTCGTTCCCTTGTGTCCTACCTGCATAACCTCCCAACTAGGGCTGTCCCCCCGCCGACCACCTTCATCCCTCCCGGCTGCCGCTGCAGTGGTTTCCTT